TGGCAGGCACAGCACTTTGTGAACCTCCATGCGCAGATGTCGTGGCAGGCGCAGCACTTTGTGAACCTCCATGTGCAGATTTCGTGGCAGGTGCAGCACTTTTTGAACCTCCAGGTGCAGATTTCGTGGCAGGCACAGCACTTGGTGAACCTCGATGTGCAGCTTTCGTGGCAGGCACAGCATGGTGAACCTCGAAGTGCATATTTCGTGGCAGGCACAGCACTTGGTGAACCCCGACGCGCAGAGATCTCTATAGACTTTCTGCTTGCAGACCTCACACACACTGTTTGGGGTCTCTTGCCGGGCTAGTTTTTACCAAATGCATAGATGCCATTTGCAAAGGGATAAACATTTCATTGGTTCTGAGAAAAATTGTAAACCATATACTTTCAAAGACCCATCCAGTACAATGTTCTAAATTTTGTGGACCGGTTGTTAAACCTATCTCAAACCTACTTGTTTGGGCTGAGATTGTACTGGTATACTGCTTTGTCTTTTTCAGGAAGGTCAGAAAGGAATATTGGGGTCTCTACCGCGCCAGGAAACTGAACAGGGGATCAATCAAACTTTTCAGGGTCATGTTATACTTGGGAGATGTGAAATCGTGGAATACAGTATTCTAGTTTGGGTATGCCACTCCGCACTCGTTGCCTGAGTTGGGCTGCGCCGGCTCTAGCGGTGAGCACTTGTGAGTGCTTTTGCCTGGCGGAAGGTTGGACAAAGGCGAGCACTGTACATTGTACATCTTTCAAACAAACACGGTTAAAGCTGTACATGTAGCGCCATGCCTATAGGAACTGGGATGAATAGGGGTGAATAGGGTGCTTAGCTTAGGTTTGGGTTCACGGAATAACTGTCAGTAGGGATGATTGTTTAGCATAAAGCACTTTAGTGCATTTGCTGCAGGACACTGATGGAATTGGCGCACCAACTGCAGAACCCCATACAATGGGAATCAATACAGATATATACCCGTTTGCTTCTGCATGATGGTCATCTGCTACTCTGCGACAGTGTGAGCTTCAGGGCTCTGCTAAATCGAGGCCCGACATAATCCAAGTTATATTACAAGTTAACCAGCTGAACCGAGTCAAAACAGCTCTCTCTCTGCAACAAGGTTCTTCAATTCGAAACCTGCTGCATTGAGAAAGCTCTGTCAGCGATTCAATACAAGTCTTCCTCCCTTTTGCGCTGGCCATGCAGCATTTCTGTGATTCACCTACTTTTGTCTCCCAGGTTCGGTGCCTGTACTGTTGGTGTCCGCCCTTCTCCGCTGGCCATGCAACATTTCTACTCAGTTGTCTCCCATGTAATTTCTTTACTTTTGTCTCCCAGGTTCGGTGCCTGCACTGCTGGTGTCCACCCTTTTCCACTGGCCATGCAGCATTTCTATTCAATTGTCTCCCACGTGGTTTCTTTACTTCCCCAAACAGGTTACCGTTAGGAGGTCTCAATACTTTCTAAGGTTGTCCGCCTTGCTGCCGGACAGCGTGTCCGCCTTCCCTCCGGCTTGTCACCCTTCGTTGTCTCCCTTTGTCCGGTCTTGTCTCCTTTCTTGTTGGTCACTGTGCCTTCTTGTTCCTCACTGTGTCCGTCTTGTCTCCATTCTGTTTCCTTTTGTCTCCCTTCTTGTCCCCCTTCATTTTGGTCATTGTGTCCCCCTTGTCTCCCTTCTGTTTCCCTTTGTCTCCCTTCTTGTCTCTCTTCTTGTCTACCTTCTTCTTTCTCTTGTTGTTGGTCATTGTGTCCGCCTTGTCTCCCTTCTGTCTCCCTTTGTCTCCACTCTTGTCTCCCTTCTTGTTAGTCACTGTGTCCGCCGTCTGTTTCCTTTTGTTTCCCTTCTTGTCTGAGGCGGACACAGCAGCCCAGAGCTGGAGACAAATGTAAAGGATTGCAAGGCAGGGGCCGATTGAAATCCTTTACATTTGTCTCCCAGCTCGTTGCATTGTCCGTGCCTCCTAAGTCTGGGCTCCTCTCTCCCCCTCTCACTTGCAACCCTTACATTTGTCTCCCACCTCTCACCTGCATGTCGCCTGCAATTCTTTGCTTTACATTTGCCTCCCCGTGTCTACATTTGTCTCCCAACTCTAGGCTGTTGTGTCCGCCTCTGCCTTGAAGTCCTTTACATTTGTCTTCCGGCTCTGGGCTGCTGTGTCCGCCTCTGCCTTGCAATCCTTTACATTTGTCTCCCAGCTCGTTGCATTGTCCGTGCCTCCCAACTCTGGGCTCCTCTCTCCCCCTCTCACTTGCAACCCTTCACACTTGTCTCCCAGCTCTGGACTGCTGTGCCCTGCAATCCGTTACATTTGTCTCCCACCTCTCACCTGCATGTCGCTTGCAATTCTTTGCTTTACATTTGCCTCCCCGTGTCTACATTTGTCTCCCAACTCTAGGCTGTTGTGTCCGCCTCTGCCTTGAAGTCCTTTACATTTGTCTTCCGGCTCTGGGCTGCTGTGTCCGCCTCCGCCTTGCAGTCCTTTACATTTGTCTCCGAGCACTTGCAGGCTGTGGAAGAGCATCAGCAGGGCGCCTCTGCCTTGCAATCCTTAAATTTACGTTTGTCTCTATGTCCGCCTCTACCTTGCAACCTCGCAATCCTTTGCATTTGTCTCCCACCTCTAGACTGCTGTATCCGCCTCTGGCCTGCATGTCGCTTGCAATCCTTTACATCTGTCTCCCTGTGTCTACATTTGTCTCCCAGCTCTGGACTGCTGTGGCCGCCTCTGCCTTGCAACCATTTGTCTCCCAGCTCTGGACGTCGCAAGCTCTAGTTGCAGAGTATTCCGATGTTGAAAAGCACAAACTGTTTGGGGTCTACGATGGTGTAATTTATGTAGACACTACATGACACGACACCGTGACACTACCACTACATGTACAAACTAAACATGACCATGTTCATGCTTTCACAATGGGCGTTTGATTTGTTTCCAGTGTTCTCCTAAATTCTCCAAAAAATGAAAGGACTCACGGTGATTTGAGGCACCTGGGGCAGGTCTTATCAATTCTCGCTGGATGCGACAAAGCGATCACATGTTCATTACACGCTCAAAACAAACAGTGACAAACACCTGCGATTTATCTTTTTGTTCGAGGTGCTACGCAAAACCACCAGGGTTGAAGATGTAAACCAGCGTTTTGTTTCGATGAAGAAAACAATGTCGACCAACAAAATTCAACCATCAAGTCGATCACAGCGGTCGCTCCTTCTGTCCGTGTGTTCCTTGTTCTCTTCCTTTGTCTCCGTCAATCCGAACGAAACACCTCTCATGCGCGCGCGACGGCTCGAACCCCGCGCCGCGTGGAGCGTCGTCCTGCGTCAGCAACTCCTGCGCCGAGGAGATCGGTGGAATGTCCTTGACACGCTCCTGCCGAGGAACGAGCGATGTAGGCACGGGGCGATGCACAAGGTGTGAGGCACTGGTGTTCTTGGAAGACACAGGAAGGAGAACACGCGAAATGAGCATCGAAAAGGACAATGATCAGAAGTATCGTTTAAGCAATAGAATAAAATACAAAAAACATCTGATGTGCAGCTGGAATTCTACATTAGCTGCAAGAAGTCCTAATTGGAAGGTGCTCAAAACCTGTTCAATTTCTTGATCTTGATGTACATATGGCTGACTAACTAAGGCCACACGTGAGATCTTGAGATTCTGCGTCCCCTCATGATTACTGTGGGCTCAATCAGCAAATGCAGCCGTTTCTACGGATGTGTGCAAAGGGTCTGCACCGAACATCAAACCTTTTGTAAACCAAAGTCCAGCAAACTCCCAAAGTGGAACTTTGATGAACTTTGTAGAACCCCTTGAACTTGAACTAGAGCTAGGTTTCAACATCGCATTCTCTCACAAGCCTCGAGGTTCACACCTCCCAAACTACCCCAACCGTCCAATTTCCACCCGCCTCCCCGAGCACCGACTGGAACTGCAGCTTCAGTCGGAGTCGGTACCAGGCGGACGCCATCGAAAGGACCTGGGCGGACACCATCGATCGGGCGAAGCGCAAAGGCTGCGGCGAGCCAGGCACCGTGTGGCGAAGCGGCGCGGGGCGTGGCGAAGTGGGTGAAGTGTTGGGATTTGCACCCATCATAGGAGGGAGTGGAAGAGAGGATGTGTGTTCCAGTCATCAACATTACTCGCCCCCTCCTCAGCCCTCCACCACCTCTTCTGCTGGCGAATGTCACAGCCCCAAAAAACCTTCAATCCGCGAAGCTTCACGGCTATGTTGGTGTTCTGTTCTTTTCTCCAAAGGTCAGTTGGCCCATGCACCATTGCTTTTTGCTCCACTCAATGAGAGATACTTCTTCTCTCCCGTCGGTCCGCCGGTCCGACGGTGGTGTGCGAAGCCGGTCGACCGGCTTCTGAGCACGCTCTCCTTCTCTGAGCGTGGCCTCACAAATCTGGGCGACCAAGGCATCCACAACAAACATCCAGTTCAACCTGTTAGTTTGAAATAGTTCGACCAGTTGAGGCCTCCACCCATCTTTCCACGCTTGTCGAATGGTTCAATCCTTTTGGAAATCCAATGAGCCCAAAACTGCAATTGTGACAAACACCGGTCATTTTCTTTGGTAGAGTAATTAGAGGAAGGTCTTGCTCAAAAAGTAAAGTATTAAGACTTCCTGGAAGCTGGCAAGCGAGTGGCATCGTCTGTGGAGCCCAGGAAGAGCAACATCTGCACGTGAGGCTGTGCACGGTCCTGAGCGGCTCCCGACATCCTTGGCCTGTTTTCTCCTTCAGGGTGCATTCGTATCCCATCCATCACTTTACTTTGGAATGATAAACTTTACATATAAGGAAGTCCTTAGGCCTCCTCTATCATCTGCAACTTTGCACTCTTCTTCATTTCATCGGTTGTTCATCTTCTTTCACGCCCACTCTCACACTCCACCTTCCTCCCTTCCAAGGCACGACCCACTCCGCGGTGGCGGGTAAGGTGCCAACGGCTTGCACCAAGCTGCCAGGCAAGGAGCCATGAACCGAGTCCAAGATCCGCAACGAGGCCTCTCCGTGGCCCACGGGCGGCGTGGACGGGGCGCCACAAAGAGTGTGTGTGGCATTGGAAGGCCGAAGGGTGGGAAGTAGAGGTTGCAAAGAAGTTGGGACGGTTGGTGGCCAAAGGACCTTGAAAATGACAAAACAGTTTGGATGGCATTCAAACAAGACTTGTGGGTCTTGTTTTGTATGGATGAGACGAGAACAACTCTGAAAAATCCGTCGCTGGTTTTTCCTCGTCCACATGGACGTCGCACAACAACAACAACAACAACAACAACTACTACTACTACTACTAGACGGACTCTTTTGCTAGTATACCTCTGAAAAATGACAAAAAAAAGTTGACCCTATCTGTAGCAGTATTCCTACCATGCACTCAACTCTGGATATGAGATCCACTCGTGCCAGAGCTCTTCAGCTCAGCTGGCACTGCTGTCCTGAGAGTCCGGGCGCAATCAACGAGAGAGGTCATTGATCCATGCGCAGCTCTAACGTTCGCTGCTTCATGCAGAAGTCCGCAAAGAAAACAATACAATGGGGCATAGTTTGGTATCGTTGGTATGGGGCATCGTTCTAGATTCCAGGCTTGCTGCAGTCTCCGTGCTGATTTTCATGATCAAGGTGTGTTCACTCACAAGGAGAGAATATCGTTTTGGAATTGGTGTTCACCGTGTTGAGGTTCGTTTCACAGGACATCTCCAGTTGTCACCCTAATCACACACACAGAGACACACACACATAAAATGGTTGACCTGTTGCGCTTTGCTCATAGTGAGATGATACCTCATGGCGCGCAGAACAACTCGTTGATTGGCAGCATCTGTTCCGATGCCGATGCATCCCATTGACCGAAGTCCTGAGTCCTGCAGAGTCACAGTCAAAGAGTGGCATGGTCACCCGGCTAAGACATTGCCAGGCTACAAACTGATCTACCAGGCCACCTGGTTGTTCAACCGCTTTCAATCCGCGTTCGCTGCTAGGTTGCTTGAGCTACAACTTGTAAACTGGTAGGTTAGAAGCTCTACCAAACCATCTACAGTATATATTGGAGTGCGCTGGACACTGGTCGTCTCACCTGGTTCCGTCTCGTCGTTCCTTCCTCCGCGCCTCATTCTCCTCCCCCTCTCCAAAGCTGGACTCCACCAACGAGAGAACCGAACAGACCTTGGGATGTGTTGGCTGTGACAGAAGAACGTTACGGTGACTGTGCCTCCAAATCAGGCAACCATTCAAAGTGTGTCAAAAGCTGTGTCTTAAAGATGTCGCGATTGCTTATGTCATTTCAGTCATTTCGCTCTTTTCTTCTCAGCCTCGGCTTGGCGTTCGGAGGCCGCCAAAAGCAGCACAAAAAAGGCCACACTTGATCTCATGCCTCATGAGATCTGAGCTTACTTCCCCATTCGCTCGCATTTGGGTGAGTATTTCGTGCAGAACTTATCCTCCACGAGCAAAAACTCAAGGTCTCCGCTGTTTCGAAGAGCACACTGCTTCGCAAAGGTCTGACAGTAGGTGGTCAGCAACTGGCCCTTCTTGGTGATGCTGCAGCACTTCTGAGAATCGGTGATTTGTTCCTCCTTAGATTGGGGATGACGGACAGTCTCCTGAATTGAGGGTTTAACACAGGGTCATCCAGGAGCAAATGGACAATGACCATCCGGAAAGTGGGATGAATTCTTCAAGTGGATCGCGTTCTTTTCATAACATTCTTTTCATAAACTTGAAAATGAAAGCACGTTAAGAACTTAACTGCTGAATCAAACATGTAGAATTTGGAGTCTTTATATGTTGCAAAATGATTCTTCTATATATTATATATATATATGTGTGTTTTTCTGCACCTGTTTTGGTTGAATGAGCCGAAAACGACGAGCTTCAGCCTGTGTCTCCAGGAGCGAGACACGTTGCTGGAGGTCATGAATCATCTCCATCATCTGGGCGTTGGAGTACTGTTGATGATCACGTGCGGCGTTGGCCAGCGTCGCCAGCGTGAAGAAGAAGAAGCTCATGCGCGCCATGAAAAGAACTAGATCTCTCAGGAACTGGGATGCTGGGCTGGTATCAGCAGGTGTTGATTTCAAGAAACTGACATACAGCAGCAGCGAGCACATTTCTTCCAATACTTCCAACATACCGATCTCACGCCTTTCTTCAACAAAGCACCAGAAAACGGAAAGAACGCTGGAAACTAGAAACCTCCTTCGTCGGATTCCTCCAACTGCCTCTCAACCTCAGGTTTTAGAGCTTATTCCTCCCTCAAAGACTCCCGACGGACGTCTAACTGCACGTCGTTGTTTCCTGGGCCTCCGGACGCTTTGGACCAATTGTTTGCAGGATTGAAAGATTACCACCAACTCCTCAGAACTCGTCCGTGTGGACCCGAGAAGGACCGTTCTCGTGTGGGACCATCGTTCCACGGCGGTGTGGAGACTCGTCCGTGGTAAACGAAGCATCCGTCGTTGGAAACGAAGCATGGACAGGATGCTCATCCCATCCATAGCGAGCACCGAAGGCCACCGAGGCCCAGATCACAGTGTGGCACCTTCTCCAAATCCAGGGTGCCATGATGTGGGAACTGAAAGGGTCACACACATATGTGTGGTGGAAAACATGCAAAAGATGGATGTTTAGCAGCAAGTCTCACACCAATGACACTCCCTGCATCTAGAAGCTCCCTCCACATGCACTCTTCCAATGCAATCTGAGAAGCCAGTGGAGACTGCGAGGGAGACGAACCAGCTTTGTTCTGAAAGGCTAATGTGTAGACCTGCAGGTGCAATCATCGAACACCACTCTGCTGGCAGCAAAGACCCATGATGAATGGTGGCCTGGGGCTCCAAGCACCAACCCAAGTCGAAGGTGCTTGGGATGAGTTTGTGGAGTCTAACTACCTTCTGAGGCGGACGTGCTTGGAGCGAGTTGCCCTATAGGGAGTCTATTATAGTCTATAGTTGCTACTTTCGCGGACTGGGACGAGTAGATATCACTTCGACTGGTTCATGTCGCTACCATCCAAGCAACAAAAACTCCTCCCAAACGACTGCGTTCCGATCGGCAAAACCCCCAAAGAATTTTCCCTCCAAGCATGGCCCTTGGAGCTCTGAGGTATATACATATGTCAATGTTGCATGAAACATATAATATATATATATGTTCACTGGAAGCATACTAGATACGAGTCATACGAGAAAGGAATCTTCCTCATAGGCCTCATATACCTACCTCGTAGCAACCTTGTCCTTGCCCTTCTTTCTTCAGTCATTATGTCCTTTCTTTGACTTCACAAGACAACCGCCTCGCCAATCCTTCCGCCCATCCTGAACCCGAAACCACAAACCATGTCGGTCAGAGCATGTCGGGTGCCTTCAGCATGAGCTCGAAGTTCAAGAAGGGATAGATTGGCGCCCAAATGGACACAGCATCATGCAACAACGCACCTCGCAAGAAAAAGATGGCGGCATCGCCAAGCATCGCTTGTCGGACCATCCACAGATTGGGGTGCTAACATGGTGAGATCGGTTCGAAAAAGTCGATCTGCAGAAATGGATGAAATTGTGGGAGCAAAAACAATGTTGCACGGACAAACTTACGTAATTACCTCTCTTGCTGTTGTTTTCATCTCCCCGGAATAGCCTGGATCTGTGTCCTCAAAGTCCTTGAAGGCCTTCATCGCCTCCTCACCTTGGAGAAACTGAGCCGGCAGTTTATAGGCGAAGGAAACGACGACCACCGGCAGTTCATGGGCGAATACCCAAATGATCGTACCAATGGAAGAGGAGGAACTGCATGAAGCCGGCGGTGCAGCAGTGTCGCACTCCACGGTCTCCAACGCGCGGAGCGCGGTCTCTGCACACACGGTCCACGTCGCCGCAAAAACACGAGGCCCCCACCAAAGATCTGCGTGCAAAGCGTTTGCAGTCCTGGAAGGGCGCTCTGTCCGGCACAAATGATGCTCAAATTGGACGGGAATGATGTGGGTATGGGCCTGTACTCTTAAACAAATCTTTTGAAATGTTGATGGATTTTGTTTGCTGATTTTGTGATGTGCCATTGTGAAATCACAAATAGAAGGAAACCAATCACATCAGTCACTACATAAACCCGCAGTGCAACTGGATGGAACCTGACAGGCGTACTTCTGGCGTTTCAGGGTTCAACATGGGAACTGGGCCCGAATGAGGTCAATATGGTCTTTAAAACAATCAATAAAAGGTCTCTCACTTGGGAATCACCTCATTTATAGTTACCTGATCGATGTCATTGCGTTTTTGCGTAATTCGTTGTTTGACACACCATTAAGATTCACTGAACGTGGAAAATCATCCGTCACGTTATTTTGATGCCACATCCCACTCCGAAAAATAAAGTGTCCAAATTCCAAACAAATTGTTTCACAAAACAGTTGATTTTTTGTGGTAACACGCCTTAACCCTCACGTTTGGTGATCAAGGGCTACACACATGGACTGGAACCAACAGTGTGACATTGTGTGATTTGGCTCAAGGCGCAAATCATTCCAAAAAACAAGGTTCATTTGCCAAGTGTCGTATGGGGTCTCGTTCTTCTACATTGCTGGCGACAGCAGCGCACCTCGAGAGGCGGGCAGTGGTAGCGGCAGCAAAGAAGGCAATAGCAGAACAAGTCAGAGAAGCCAGGACAGCTGTCACTAGTCACCGTCATCAACAAGTGTCGTTGTTGCTAGCATTTGCCAGCTATTTTTCACCACCTGCCGTGTACAACTTCACAACACACTGCTACCAGGCGGGGACTTACAAAGCACACTTGCCGAAATTTATCGCTCTGGTCGCTGAACATGAAAACACGCTGGCGTAGAGCGCGCCACTGTCCTTCATCAATGAAGCTGCCGCCCACATGCAGCACAGCACGCTCGTGAATCAATGTTGATACACACAACCCCACGAAGCAATTGAACGCGAATCTCACTGCCAAAGTACATGCTGCAACTAAAGCATGCTCTTGGCCGAAAACATGTTAGCTCTCTGCTACACAGCCCCGGCTGTTGGGCATGTCCAGCACCAGCTTCCAAGGGTTTCGGCAGACTATAGAAACATACCGTAAAATACCTGCGTCTGAGCACGAAGCAACCGCATTCTTAATGGTGAGGGGCATCATGCACTCGTACCGTATTGCCGCGCCCGTTTTTCAGATAAGGTCCGTCACATCTTAACTTCGTTTGGGTTGACCTACATCTTATCTGCTGTTGCCTTGGAAGCGTTCCCATTGGACATTGGAAGCCCCGCGGCGGGTCTGCGTGAAGAATAGAAGCTTGTGGTATTTGGAGTACAGTCCGAATATCCCACTTACTTGAATCATTCAGGTGGCGTATTACGTTTTATAAACACTTAGCTGTTATAAAATGATCTGCAAGGCCTCATTCTCTGTATATAAAGTGCTAAAGCCCACACCTTTATAAAATGCACGTCCCTCTCCTACATGATCTTATCTTTCCAGGGTCCCCTGCCATATGGGCACACATGCTTCCATAAAATGACCCCTGGGAATGGCACTTTGTAAGCACAAGGCATCTGCATTTCATAGAGTTACATGTAAGAAGGATGTCCGAATATTGCTGAGTCGTGCAACACATCTGCAGATGTCTCATCAAAATATGGTATGCACTGCTTTTTCCCCACCTGTCAGGTGAGGGATGCTAGATTTTATGTCAGCGCCTTCCTCCGCCTCCTCCCTCCTTCTCCTCCGCTGCCGCTTCTCCGCCAGCTCCGGATGGCAGTGTTCCCGCCGGACCTCAACCGGCAGCTTCGGATGGCGGTGTTCCCCGCCGGACCTCAACGCCAGCTAGCTCTGCATGCCAGTGTTCCCCGCCGGACCGCAGAGTTCCCCGCTGGACCTTAACCGCGAGGTCCACTTGGCAGCGTTCTCCGCCGGACCTCAACCGCTAGCGTCGGCTGGCAGTTTTCCCGGCCGGACCTCAAACGCCAGCTCCTGAGCGCACTGGGCGCTGCCGGACCTCAACCAACACACAACCAACACACTACTACAAACACAATCACAAGCACAATCACAATCACAAACACATCCACAAACACACAATCACAAACACACAACAAACACTATCACAAACACAACATCACAAACAAACAGCCACAAACACAACCACAAACACATCCACAAACACACATCCACAGCACACAACCACGGCACACAACCACAACACACGACCACAACACACAACATCACACAACCCGAGGACCCACAAGCAAATTCCAGAACCACAAAACTCACGGCCAAGGCAACATGCTCCTCACTGGCATGAAGACAAATGATCGAAATGTGGTGGGGATCACTCGAAGTAAAGTAATTGTATCTTGTCTTTAAACTTGTTGGGTCCCAAAGATGGGTCCCAAAACCATGGACGCTCACTTCCTCCGATCTGGTCAGTCCTTGACCCAACCAATCACCAGTGCAGCGTGATCCACGATGAAAACAAATGTGTCACCACAAACAGACATCTACCATGGTTTGAGGCTTCCTACACATCCCTTGCCCTCCGCCAGGCGGGTATGGTAGGGGTGCTGGATCGAAAGTTCTATAGCAATCATGTTGTATCCCGTGACGAGTGTCCAATGGACTGCCCCACACTACATATACCAGCTAAGCCGTAACAACCCGAAAAAAGTACATGTTTTTGAAAAATGTTGATTTTTGCTTTTGGTATATATATATATATTTTTTTTATCTTGAGTATGTATTGAGTAAAAGGGTAGGTATTGCGTAATTTCATAAATAACATTAACATAAACATAACTTGTTGGTCATAACATGCATTGCAGTATACTTGATTCATCATATACTGTTGGTCATATACTTGAATATCTCCGGGCAGGCTTGCTTGGAGGAGGCCATTGTCTACATGAGAGGCTCCAAGAATTTGATGGTGCCAGCCCGATGGAAGAACACCTTCCTATATTGTATATAGATATAGAATGCGAGCGTGATTAACGTGATGAGACCTTGTTGAGGGCGCAGCCATGCTTACTGATGATGCTGTGCTGGCAATGAAGAAGAGTCTCCTGTCAGAGACTCATGGGAAGTCGCATATACTGTACTATTCATCAGAGACTCCTGTTTGTACTTGATTCATCATATACTGTACTATTCATCATTAATCATAACCCGGAGATATTCAAGTTGAGTATGTATTTAGTAAAAGTGTAACCTTTAAAAAAATAGAATGACATTATTATCATTGAGTGTGTATTTCTCAAAAATGTACATATTGAAAGACGGTGTAACAATTCTAGCACTTTTGGTTTAGCTGGTATATATACATTGGACACCCGTTGAATGATCCAGGGCTCGCACTCATGTGGCAAAACCCGAGCTCGTCGATGCGAGTTGGTCGGGCTGATGCGATAACGTCTCCTTTGTCTTCATGGCAAGCTCTTCTTGGATGCCCAAAACAAATCTAGATGGAATCGGGAATGACCCGGCTCGACCGGTATGCTTTTTGGCTCACTGGGGTTGAAGACAAGCCATACTGCCAAAAGGAAACGTCAAGCTGCTGCTGTTTGGGGTCAATGCTGGTGTAGTATGGTGCAAATATGTCCGATGTGGATGATGTGGTAGTGGTTCTTTCTGGCAGGCAGGACATATTTTCAGGATACTTGTTTAGGATATTCAATGTGTATAACGTCGTCGTCATCACACCTGGACAGTGAAAACCAAAGCTGGGCTTTTGGCTGTGGTCGTTGGCAAGTATCGATGCGAGGTCAATCAGGGTCTGCAATGGGTCTGCTGGTTTTGACCCACAGAGCTTGAGTCCTATCAGCTTGCGGAAAGCCCACGAACTCCACAGAGATCATGACCCCGCACAAGAAGTGGAGAAAGGACAGGGCCTCCATGTTTCCACTCGGAACAGTTCCACACCCATTTCGGAACAGACCCTTCCCACTACCCCCCATCCTTCCCCAGTCGCCCCTCCTCCCCACATCGATCCCCATCCACACCAAGCACCTTCCGTCGATCCCCGTCGGGCGGCTGGGTCAAGATGCGGGCAGAGAAGGGGCAACGACACTCCAGCGGCCCAAAGCGGCCCGAGTTGGGCACGGGTGCCGGCCCTGGCACATCGGATTCATCGGTCTGCTGGATTCGCCAGATCAACCAAGGGGTTGTGGGTCATTGATGTCTTCTTCCTAAGGGGGTCTCTGGGGGGGTCCCTATTCTAATACAAATCCATACAAATCCTTTATTCGCCCAATGAGATGTAGCTCAACGAGATGATAGATGATGATAGCATCCCACACGAACCTACAGGGCACTTGGTGGGTCAAAACCTTGAGTCTTTCCCCTCAACTCAACGGCGGTTCCAGCCTCATCCATTCCAGGGTTCTTCCCCCATGTCTTTTCTCATGTGATCCCAACACACTCGTCGCACCATCGGTTCGGACCCGGCCGCAGGTCGCCTTGCAGTGCGGCACCGGGACGTAAGGCGGCGCTCATGACCTGGCGAGATCCGGTGCTTCGATTCACGAATGAGGTGAACATCGAACGTGTGAGAATCAAGTGAGTAACATAAAACATAATGAGTGTAAACGTTATACGTATAGAATCCTATAGAGAACCCCCATGACCCTGATTCTGGACCACCAAGCTGCCAAGCACCCAATAAATGTAATACGAGATATATTATATGGCCTTTTCCGATCGGAAAAAGGGATCCAATATGGTTTCTAAGATAGAATGGCCCAGTGGCCTAACTCTGGCTCGCCACCTCCATCGCCCCACCTGAGCAGCTGATTGGCTGGAGCTGGCCACCAAGGCTAACCATAAGCGCAAGGCTTTGGGCGTCGCTTGCGTCACGTGCCGCAGGTTGAAGTCGCTGTCCTCTTTAGCCAGAATATCCACGGGGGGGGATGGCCGGGCGCCTTGGTGGGGTGGTGGGCCAAAGATGTGCAAATTTGTAAGCCGCAAGCACCAAACTTCACGAAGATCAGGATCTTTTATGAATTGATCCAAATTCCGATTTCTATGAATTTCTTCTCCATTCTGTGGAAGGGAAGACATCGGCGGTTTCCCACCTTCACGGTCCACTCTCCCCCACCCCGTGCAGAGCGTTCCACCGGTCCATCCACCGCAGGGCGTGCGTGAGCGCTGAAAGCTGCAAGCGTTCGATGGAGAGCCACACCTGGCGGCGCTCGTGCCGTCCGGTAGCTGGTTTCGAAAGAACAACATGTTGATCATGCTGTGTCCTGGTGCGACTGGCAAGGAAGAAGGTTGAATAAGGGAATGGATCCTTTCAATCTGATCTTGGGAGGTCATTCCCTCATTCTCTACGAGTCGCACTAGTCAGGAAAAGTGCTCCCAAAGAAGAAACAAGTCCTTTGCGGGAAAACATCAAACTTCTACACATCACGAAGGTGTTGTGCCTTACGGACCTCCTCTTCACGCTGACGTGTATATATGATCGCTCTGCGGTCTCTTCTAAGACTGCTGACAGCCGAGACACTGACTTTCTGAGGCTACCAAAGCGCATCTCCTGCATCGCCAGCTTCCTCACAATCCGTGCGCCACCAACCCATTCACATGGCTTTAGGCCAAAAAGCTTCGTAGGTCTTTCTGCTGTGCCTTTAGCCTCTACTTCCATCCAACGACCATTTATTCAAGAACAAAAACTGCCACCAACCACCAACCCATGGCAACCCCACACAGGCTCTCCAGTCCAAACACGCTCCGCTTCTCAACGCTTCTCGCGTTCTCCGTGCTCCGAGCGCCCGGCACGTGCAGGTGGAGGCCACTGGAGGAGGTCCACTGAGAGAGCACCAGCATCGCTAAGGCCTCCACCGCCTGGTCCAGAGGATCGTCAGTCGTCACCAGTGGAGTAGTGGATCCCTATGGGCTCCTGGCCTACCTCCGTTTCGGTTCGGTGGTTGGAGTGGATGTTTGTTGGGAGGTTTGACCACTGTGGAAACGCAGGTAGTTGGAGCCCCTTCTGGTAGAAAAGACTTTAGGTGGGACGGTTTGCATCTCTAAGAAAATGATTTAAAGTTTAGGCCATTCTCATGTTCCATAAGAAAGGGTTTAAGTTCTTGGAAATGTAGAGTTGTCCGGGAAATACCAGCTGACCCAATCCACCCCTTCAAAACACACTTGACTGGGAGTCTAAGCAGCTGCAAACATGTTCAGCTTTCTTTTGTAGCATGAAATATTGAATCTGAAGGCAAACATCTTGATCTCCATGCAAAGGCCCGCCTAGATGTCGGTCCAGCAACACTGGTGGATACCAAATAAGAATGTCAAATGCCCTCTATATTCACTGATGGAACATCCCCATCCCACCTCCAATCCCCACATCATCATATGGAAAACTCTTCTCCACCCATTGAGACAACCCCCACGTACACAGCACTACGCCCCGGCCCAAAGAAAATCTTCATGTCACCCCACAGGTGCGCATGTCCGCCACCTCGCGCGTCGCCGGCGTCGCGCCTGGCGGAAGGCTGGCAACTCCTCCAGCGCCTTCTCCACGGCGCGTAGGCGCTCCGCCAAGAACTCCAAGTTCACTCCCGGTTGTACACAGCGGGCCACGCAACTGCTGCCACGGCGCAAGAGGATCCTGGGTACTGGGCAGGCTGAGTGGCGAACTGGTGATTCAAGATCAGATACTGTATATCATGAATCTTGAGGATTGCAAGCCTCGAACACCTTCCCCTTCAGCTGTTGACTCTGGGACGGGGATAGCGCCACAGACTGTTTGATGGCGCTTCTCTTCTTCGCCCTTCATGAGGCGTTGTTCATATCTGGGAAGTCTTATATACAAGTCATATCACGGCAGCTCTATGAGCCAAACCTGAACCAAAGACGAGCATCTGCGCCAAGGAAGGGATGCGATTCTTCTGTTGGAGATCATGTACAGAGAGTTGAAGAAAGTCCTGATGCGAGATGTGACGAAGAAAGCAGCGACTGAGATGACGTGGCCCAATGCCAGGCGTTGTCTTCAACCAACGATTTGCTGTTTATATAGTCTATAGTCTGAACCCGCCGATCAAGTGAACTGACACTGTGAGAACCTTGTAGCCTTGCACTTGCCTTGCGCCAACCTTTTATGTCCTATATATATACCTCCTTCTGGCTGCAAGACACTTCTTTTCAAAGTGC